CCAACACACAGTAGACATGTGTTTTACTTCTGTAGTCAAGAAATTAACATTTAATATGCAAATGCTTTCGATATAGCGGTACAAAAAAAATACTATACTTGCAAAAAACTAAAAGCTGAGAAAGGAAAAGATGGAGAAGTCGAGTGTGTAACTTCAAAGACGGAAGAGATAATTAATTTACTCTGTGGACTGACGAAAGGTGAGGCAGACCCACAGAAACACCGAGGAGAATAGATGAAGAGGTGAAGTCTGACTGGTAGAGAAGATTTGCTCCCCTTAACATAAGATGGGCCTGGATTTTCGTAAAGAGGACATGGGCAGCACCTCTAAAAGTGCGACACAACCTTCAGTGGCAAGAGAGCCGTGGATGTAAACAACGGGGAGTTATAATATTTAAGATTTAAACTTAGCCGTGATGTGGGTGTGTCAGAAGCTGCCACAACACAACACTTGATAAGGTGGCTACAGTTCTATTTACAAACAGCCCCACCCCACCCCACCCCATCTACCAACACTAAAATGGGTTTCCTAATGCAGTCATCGCCCGTATTTTCCTTTCTGCCTAACTGGAACACCCGTATATTTTCGTTGGTTGGATCACACTGACTGACTTCCGATCAACCCCAGGGTGCTCCAAGGCTTTGTTCTTCCCGATACATCAATGGCTACCTGTTACTTGCTCCACAAGACTCACTCGTGACAAATAACACTACAACATATTACACATAATACAACTCTCACTCCTACTACTAGATCTCCTTCCTCTGAGACCGACGCACAGTAACTCCCCTTCCCAAAATCTATCCATCGTTACGTTGTCAATAATCTCACATTAGAACTATCACACCAGCATCCTTCATCTGTTTCATAGTCTTAAACTTTGTGAAATATAAGGTAATCAGGATAGAGCACCGTGCATATCAAAAAAGATATCAATAACACTAAATAAAATAAATAAACAGACGAACACAAATACGCAAAAATTCATGAAAAGTGAGAGTTCTGGTGTGTGTGTCAAAGAGCCACCACACCAGCATTTGCTTATTACACCCGACCACCTGTTATTAATGTGAAGTATAGTAATATTATTTCGATTAAAATAACAAATTTACCAAGCGTTTACATAGCGACCCTCAAGCCTCATGAAGACGACACACACACACATACACTTGTTACAAACACGCACACATACACTTGTTACAAACACGCACACACATACACTTGTTACAAACACGCACACACATACACTTGTTACAAACACGCACACACATACACTTGTTACAAACACACACATACACTTGTTACAAACACACACATACACTTGTTAAAACACATCTACACATGTTACACACGCCAACACATATACAGTACATGTGTTACACCTACACACATAGACTTGTTACAAACACACTTGTTACACACACCTACACACATACACGTTACAAACACACACACGCACATACACTTGTTAAACACACAGCCCAGCAAAACAGCAGAAGACGCAGATAAAATTATGCAGTCAACCCCGTAAGTGTTACACTCGACGATATTCTTGGACCAGCAGCGTGCAGGTGATGGCCGTCCTGAACAATGTGAAACATAAACAGTGTATATCGTCCCCATAGCAACCACCAGCTGAATGTGTGCCGTCTATGCTGTCACCGAGGCGCAGCACAAGTCTAGTCGGTCTTCACCCAGCACCAAAGGCTAACTCTGCCAGCAGTGTTCTTATTACCTTGTATCTCATCCAAAGATATGTTTGGAAGTTTGCGATATACAATATAAAAATGAGTTTTAAATGTAATGTACTGTATACAAAAATATATAGACTATAATATACAAAGGTACATTTCAAAGGGCATTTTTCCTAAGATCTGAGAATGATTTTATTACAAGCCAGGGTTATGAACGCCATAGTATAATCCCTTCAGTAATGTATTTAGACAAGTAATAGTCGAAGTACATGGCATTAATGTGCCCCCCCCCCTAATATTTGTAAACAATAATTATTGAATCCAGAGGAATGCCACTGTTTTTATATAAGTCACTTTATCATAAAACTTCCGTGTGATCTTGCAAACACTCCAACTACAATAAAAACACCCGAGTTATTTCTACTCACATAAAAGTCCCTTATATTCGCCTGTTATATGTGTATAGCATCAAAATACCATATGTAATGATGGGGAAGAGCGAGGCTAGTAGTGGGGCAATAAATATTGTTAGCCAATCCAGAGCATCGTTACTATGGAGACACAACACTGAACTTGCTCCAGGTCACAACGCATGTCGGCAGCCATATCTCCTCACCATTACGCACTATTATGCCGTACTTCCAACACCTACTCATACACGAAAATTTATCAATATTTCCATATTCATTTAATGATATACTGTCATCACCCATTGATTACCTTACTCCCATATAGCACAAAAAAAGACTACTCTTCAAATTCTACTAATTTAAATGGATGCATTTTTTCTGAAGTCGAAAATATATTATGAAGATACAATGAATTAGTTTAATTTAAGCAAAGTTGTCTTATTGCCTTATTCTGAAATCCCCGTAGAATACATTAAATCTATTAACGTCAGTATCGCACCTTCTATAATTATAAGCACAATGTTTGTATGAGAGAAAACGGAAAACACTGTAGCGGTTACGTGACAACTTTTGACCGTGTTTTACACTGGAATTTCCCTCATCCTTCATGCCCTGCCCACAACTGGTGCTTTATGATCGTTTAGAAAAAAAAAGGATAAATTTGCATAAGTGCACACAACTCTGTTAGAAGGTAAAAAAATAAGGTAAATTTGCATTGTCACACCGTTCACTTTTAGAAAGTAAAAAATATATTTTTCTAGTGTATTTGTGTGTGTTTAGACCGAATATGACCTTCATTTCTGGCAGAAATTAGCAGTTTTTTTTTGCGATTTTTTTTCGTTTCATGTTTTCCGGAAAAAAGTGGCTAAGTGACTAAAAAATACAAAAAAAAAAACTAGAAAAACAAAAATCAAACCTAACCTAACTTAACTGACTCACCATATGGTGGAATCACCTATATCTTACCTTATTGGCCTGATTGCTGACGTTGATTCTCACTTAACGGGGGTATAGGCGGGCAGCTTCTAGTACATTCAGTCTTGCACGTAGGACACTACTGATTTTGGAAAAACACCATGGGAATGAAAAAATGTGAGTTTCTTCGTTTTTTTTTCCAGAAACTCGCAATCAACTCCATATAATTGAAGTTACACCCATTGCAGGCTTCCATGGTGGGAACTGATTTTGAATTTCGAAATATGAGACCAAAAATAATACTCGAATTTTATTGGGCCAAAAATACCGCGAATTAAACCCAAAATCATTTTAATTGGTTTCAAAAACAAAAAAGCTTTTGATTGGCCGCGTAACGTGTACGGGAACTCATGCGCGTGATGATTTAAGGAGACACAGGAGACACGCAGTGTTGGATGAGAGGCAGACGATAATGGCGGGAGGATAATGGAAGAAAATAGAAATTTTTTGGGAAAAGCTATCTCCGTTATTATACATTTCCGCGGGTAATGTAATAGATGAAAATTATCTTATAATTAGACGTCTTGTTCGAATATGATAATAGATTAGTGGTAGGAATGAACGGTGTGTAAAGAAAATAATGCCAAAAATAAGTTTATCTAGTGTATTTATGTGTGCTGCTTAGATCGGTTATGACCTTCATTTCCGTCGGAATATGGCCGGGTTTTCGTATCGTTTATTTTATTTCTTTTTTTGGTGGGGCGTTTTCTGAAAAACATTATGGCTAAGCGAATACAAAGTACAAAAAAAAAAACACTAGAAAAACATAAACCTGACCTGACCTAACCTAACTGACTCTCACCATATGATGGAATCACTTATTTCTTACCTTATTGGCCTGGTTCTCGTTCGTCGTTGGAGTTACCACAATGCCACATATGTTGGTCTTGACGATATTTACATTCATTCTTGCACTTATGACACTTTACTGAGGTCGGGAAAACACCATGAGATCGAAAAAATGCTTTCGTTTCTTCGTTTTTTCCCCAAAACTCGCAATCAGCTCCATATAATTGAAGTGACACCCTATTGCAGACTTCCATGGTCGGAAATGAATTTGAATTTCGAAATATGAGACCCAAAATAAAAATCGAATATGATTGGGCCAAAAGTATCGCAAATTAAACCAAATATCATTTTAATTGGTTGCAAAAAACAAAATGCTTTTGATTGGCCGCGTGATGTGTACAGGAACACATGATAATTTATGAAGGAGAGACAGAGTGGGAGATGAGGTAGGAGATAACGGCGGAAGATTAATGGAAGAAAATAGAGAAAATTTTGGATACGCTATCTCCGTTATTATACATTTGCGACGGTAATGTAATAGAAGAAAATTATCTTGTAATTAGACGTCTTATTCGAATATGATAATAGATTAGGGGTAGGAATGTTGTGTGCGGAAATGCAATAATACCCCAAAAAATGCTAAAAGTGAAAATATAAAGTTATAGCTCCTAAACTAATTACAACAACCACCTATACAACGAGTTAAAAACACAGGACTTCCATGAACGTTTTTTGGTGGTACCTGTAGTGGTATCCTTGTAAATTACCCAATTTTTAGTATCAATTAATATACAATTAGCTTTATCAGCAGCTTGATCAACAGCACTTTCACTGCCGTTATAATCATCAAAATTAATCACTTCAACACACATCCTGAGTCACAAGTACCAATCATGGTAGAAAAACAATAAATTACAGGAACTCCTGTCATGAATTTTCATTAACCCATCATACAGACTCATTCCCACATAAAAATTCAACCTCTAAAAAGGAATAATAAATGGTGATGTTTGCTTTGAAAGTCAACATGGGTATTCCCCTGCAAGTGCTCTTGTGCACAACTGACCACGCATTTATTGAAGCAACATGAGGCAATGAAGCCCCAGTAGTGAAGGTAGTGTACAGTACTTACCGTTTGAGGCGAGGCTCTAGTGGTGATGATGGAGTGGTTATCTGTCTCCATACCCTGCTGGAGCACGTATGTATTCCCTCCTAGGATCTGACCTCCTACAGGACTACTCGCCACCTCCTGTTACCCAATAAAAAGTACATAAAAGTTACTATAATGCTTTATAACATACTGTATATATGGTAATATTCAATCATTCTATTAAACAAACAGGCTGATTTTGAGATTGTAATACCTGTATATATAAAGCTGAGACCTAGAGATTAGTTTTCTTTCCTTTCACATTTTAGCTACAGTATTGGGAAATTTATATGAAGATTTCATAAGATGATTACTGCTGTTTTGAAATTAAGGTGGCAAACTTATTCAAAGTTGCCAATGTTTTTGTGCCATCATGTAACCCTGACGGTTATGAGGTACATTGTACACTGAACCTTCAATATCATCGTGAATCTGGGTCAATCAAATTAATAACATAATATCAAAATATACAAACTTATAAAAATTACCACAGTTCTAGATTTTTTTAAAACTTGCCTCAAAAATTTGAAAAATCTGCAATTCTTAAAAGGACATGTGTTTTGATGTTTGATATTGAAAAGCTTATTATGAGAAAAACTGACCACTGTCTTAAGACTAATGTACTGTACAGTACTGAACAGACATACTGTATATATACAGTACAGGTATGTATTGTATAAAAAATGCTTTGAGTAATATGCGCGCAATGTAATGGTAATACTGTACAGTTTATTTCAACAATTCTGTGTTATATTAAACTATCAATATTTGTATTAATTATATTATAGATATTAGAATAACTTCAACCAAGTTCAAGTTTTCTCGGAATATATTTTATGTTTTATCTATACCCAACTATTTTTGCTTTTAAATACATTGCATGCACCAGTGAATTTTGTAATATTTTTCACTTTTGAACATTTAAACAGATGAAAAATAAATAAGATGTTTGGATTTTTATTTATTTTTCATAAGAAAGTATCTCATAATACATATAGAAAGCCGTGTGGGTTATTTTGAGATTTTCTGACTTCAGTACAGTATAGTCTGCATTTACGCGGTCAATTGAACCCATGGAGGCCCGCGTAAAACAAGAAACGCGTAAATGAAATTACAGAACATATGGGTTTAATTGAAATAGAGACTGGGCCGACCCCCAAACCACTTTTTCCAACACAATACATAACCTTGTAGTCAAAATAACATCTTAATTTTATGATGGTATGCACACACAATTAATAATTAAGAGAAATATCAATAATATTAGGTTTGTTAACACTTACGTTAGTAGAAAAGATGGCTGGGCACACGGGGATGGGGGGGTTGGTTCCGAGGCAGAGGGCAAATTATTGGCCCTCACCTGTATCACTTGATTCAATTGTATCACTATCCACCACAGAGGCTTGCAGGGCCTCTTTGTCAAACCCCTCAAAATCCATATCCTCACTATCACTGACTTGGGCCGGCTGTGGTGGGTGGCGGGTGAAGAACCTGGTAATGTTTTGATGACTGGGCGACCAGTTGCGCACCCTGCCCGCGCCGCGTAATTAAAGCATTTAATTCTGGCAAGGCACCGCGTAAATGACCAAACGCGTAAACAAAAGCCGCGTAAATGCAGACTATACTGTACTATAAATGATTTATTTTTCCCATAACCGCAAAATTTTCTTGCTAAATCTATCATTATATCTCAATGAAATATATTGAATTATCCCGAAATATTGAATCAGTGAGGGTTCAGGATGTATTAGCCCCTTAGTTCTTATATAAATGTCAGGGCAGTACATTGGGTTTATATAATCATATCACCCCCTGAAACTTTCCACTGGCTATGAGGTGACATGGTCACATCACGTGATGGGTAAGTTCCTTACGGCACGGACCTAAGACTGTTAAGGTCAGCACATAAAAGCCGGTTGCCTGCGGATTGTCATTCAACACCTCACACCAACCGGACGTATTTAGAAGAGCTCTTTAATAGAGCTTCCGTCCTCATCTTAACACTCATAGCTACAGTGATTAAGTTACGGTGATATACACTTGGAACTGTACTGTATACTATGAGATAGTTCCTCAATAAATAGATAACAGACAATTGGGTTTCACTACTAAAACCCTATATAATTTTACATGTTCCAGCCTCATTAACCCAGAAGGAATCAATGGTTAAGGGGCCAGTTCAAGGAAACAGTACGTAGTGCATAGATAAATTCTATGGATATATAGTGCATTATTTCAGTATCACTGCCGTGCTCAATTCCTAGAAAGTTTATTCAAACTTTTACACTCAGGTTTATTACTCCATTATAAAATTTGAGATGCCACTTTCCAAAATGTCTCAATCATGAAGTGTTTTAATATTTGATTCTAAGATCCAACCATTTGTATTATACATGTAAAAAATAAGGTGAAAACAGTGGAGGAACAAAGTTACAGAACTTCGTTATTTTATTTCAGTAACTTTGCATTACCTTTCTATTACTCGAAACTAACTTTTTTCTTCAACATTTTAACATAAGTAACTTTTAAAAACATAACACTTTTTCCCTGAGTATTTTATTTTTTCCAGTTTCAGTGTTGTTACCCATTACCATGAGAAAATATATTCACAATATTTAGACTGCTACAACTGCATTGCAGGGTACTGTACTGTTCTTGGTCCTATCTGTTTATGTGTCCTCCAAATAACTCAAGAATGGTTTACAGATTTGCACCAAACTCGGTACATTTGATCAACATGTGACAAGGTTGACATGATAAACTTTTAGTGCACATCCTACCCTAATTGACAGCATTGCCCTGGTACAGTAAAGTAATGGTTACTGCATTGGTAACAAAGGGTTTGGTTCAGTGCATGTACCCTGGGTCGGTAACTTACTGCCTGCACTACACGAGGTAAAAAGTGAGAGAGCCACCAGTGGCACTGGCGTTTCACAAGGAACCCATTCACATCACCTCATCTTGGTGTGGCAGACACATGCATTAAACACACATGGCCACGGGGTTTTTACAAACAGATCTAAAGATCTAAAGATTAACAGAGTGTGCACATTTGTCGATTTAAAAAAACAAAGGGTTTATTGGTCATTATAGAATATGATACCATGAGACAGTCTCCAACAATGATTACAATAATCTACAGTAACAGCAGACAATCAGCACATGTTTTGTCTCTCTACGTTCTCCTTTTCCACAATCTCCTGTGTGTTAAGTGAAAATTTTAGGCCCATCATGTCGGGTAAATGGGTAGCAAGTGAGTGTTGGTAAAGCAGCTGAGGTGACCAGGAAAATGTGGACATGAAAATGAAAGTGATAAGAGAAGGTCGAGGGAGGCAACTGTCAGGTAGACGAGGATCAATCAGGGCCGGATTAAGCCATGTTGAGGCCCAGGCCCACCACCACTTAAAATAAAAAAAATTTAAAATATTTTCCAAAGATAAAGAGGATGAGAAGTTACATACAGGTACTACCTGACGATACCTGCAGTGACTAAATTAAATGTGTTGTTAATGAATACAGCAGGAAATGTATATACCGTGTGTGTGTGTGTGTGTGTGTAAAAATAAATGCAATACATGTGCTCCTCTACATTGAAAATGTATGTTTTATTTCCGTAGACTTTATTTACTATTTATTAACCGACCTTTTGGATTATCCGTCGGCCCCTTCCCCCCATATGTGGTCGGTTAATCGAGGTTTTACTATATATATATATATATATATATATATATATATATATATATATATATATATATATATATATATATATATATATATATATATATATATATATATATATATATATATATACATATATATATGTGTGTGTGTATGCTTTTTTTTATTTACTTTATCATGTTTTGTTTTACAAAGTGGTTGTTGTTTGAATGTTATAATAAAGCGGTAGAAATTTCTCTGGGAAGGCACAGTATACTGTGGAACATATCCCTATTTTTTTATATTTAAATACTGTACCACAGTCTTATATTTGATTGAAGTTTGGCTTATGAAGACTATATGAAATTTGAACTTCTAAAAATAGCGTATATACTCGTCTATAACCCCCCCTCGTTTATAGGTCGACCCTGATTTTTTTACCAAGAAATCGTTAATTTATGATATTCCTCGTTTATAGGTCGACCCTGATTTTTTTACCAAGAAATCGTTAATTTATGATATTCCTCGTTTATAGGTCGACCCACATTTTCGAGGGTAATGGAACAACAAAACCTTCAGTAAAAACACTCTACGTCCTATAAACTGAGGCTCGCCGTGCCTGAAACACCGAGTGCCGAAGGCAAATTGTTTACCATTTATTATTACGACACTTTACACTGAAACGCGGGTAGTTTCAACAAAAATATTGTATATTTCCATTCAAGTATTTATTCAAGTCAATTAGGAGGGAATATTATTGTAATACAACAGTTTTTTAACTAAATCATTCGAAAAGCGATTACGGTAACATCATTTAAACGAAAGAAAGCGAAAGTCATTGTTTTCGTCACGATTTTATCCCACTTTCCACTGTACAGTAATACGTACGTCATTTCAGCAAAAATATTACATTTCCGTGAATGTATTATATCAAGCACAGTATGAATAGAATACCATTGTAATATAACAGTATTTTAACCAAAAACTATTAAAAAAACGAGTAACTTCTCTTGAATATCGAAAGGTTAGGTAAAATCTTTTGTTTTCGTCATGTATTTTATCCTATTTTACATTAAAATACATCACGTTTCAGCAAAACTACTATTTATTTCCGAGAATATATTCATTCAGGCACAGTTAAGGTAAAATATACATGTGATGTAACAGTTTTTCAACTGAAAACGATTCGAAAAACATGTGTACCGTCTAGCTGAGACACGACAGCTGGTGGTGCGTCATGCATCGTTGTAAACAATAGGAGGTTGAAGTAGATTACCGGGTATTATATTAAGTGTGAAATATCGAAAAGGTTTTTATTACCGGTATTTTTTGTAGATCAATGAGAACTGTGATACCGTACATGATATGATAAGTTAGCCTGTGCTAAGAACTTCAACATAGACTACTGAAAGCACGTTGTAAGGTAATTTAGCCTATTGTAAGTTGGTGAGCTTCATTTGCTGAAGGAACTGCACAACTTTTCATTACTAATTGGTACATATTTTACGTTTCCATTGTTTACTGGCAGTAAATGGTAAATATTTTTCATGTCTGAAGCTAAAAGTTGCTCCTCGCCCTTCCCATCATGCACGGGTTCAACCTAACAAAACTATTACGCATGTATAGGACGATCCCCAATTTTTTGCCTGAACATTTGGTCTTAAAAACTCGAACTATACACGAGTATATACGGTAGTCAAATTATGAAAATTTTTCCAGTTACGAATTAAGAAAGATTAAGTTTCAGTGTACAATAATTATAAAAAATCTTTGAATGTACAGCACTGTACCTGTGCTTCATATAGTATATATATCCTCTTTGTAAGATGATATATAATTAGCCTCACAAAATATGTTACAAATTATGAGGTGTTGTAACTGACCTGAGAGTAAGACACGGGTGTGGTGGAGCCGGGCTGGTAGTAGGTAGTACTGCCTGCCGAGTACATGGTGGTGTCCCCCACCGTGTACACTGGGTACGCCCTGTTCATAATCAAGAATCCATTCACCAATTATTATAAATTATTCATTCAACTTCTGCTGTCAATTAATATAATATGAACTATATACTGTATAACAACATAAAATAACCTTGGTATCCAGTACTGTATACTGTACTATATGGTTATGATAACTTTTAATGTTAAAAATAAGATTGTTTATTTCTAAAACCTAAATACTGTATATACTGTACAGAATAGTATTGTGTACAGAACAGTAAATAGGATAATTTGGACAAATGGTTACATGGCAGGAAAAGAAACACAGGGTCAGAGACAACTTTACTCCTCTTTAATAAAATGTTAGGGGCACGTATCAGTGAAGTTGTATCTCTGACCCGGAGTTTTCTTATCTACCACAAAACTGTACAGTAAACTCTCAATTTATAAGTCGTATTTTTGTAGATTCTCTTTAACACAAAACATAACTCAAAACCAAAATTCCTGAACTACAATATTCTGCTCTATATAATGTGAATTGAGGCACGTGTTAAAGATTATTGTATTAAAATACCATAAATAGATTATGACAAAATTTCAGCCACCCAAAAATAGAGGAAACAAATTTAATGAGAACTATCGGCTAATATCAGCTAGACATGCTTGTGTAGGTTAGCCTTGATTACCTGATGGTAACCCCCATACTGCATGGTCTCTTGCAGCCTCTCCTGTCAGGTCCTTAACTCTAATGTCATTTCTTATAACCTCTCCTTATGTCATTATTTGCCTCCCCTACACATTTAGTTTCATGCACCTCTTGATCCAATTGTTCTCTTTTAAGTCTGCACATGCTAAAAACAATCTCAGCCTACCATTACAGAAAACTTTGCTAATACAGTACTCTCAATACCCACCCGTCCTTTCAGCTCTTGTACAGGGCTTCCTATATTTCAGTGTTACATTGCACATCCATCTCACCATTCTCAATTTAGTTTGGCCAAGCCAGCTTAAGTCTCCTCTTTAACACCTGTGTTTCACTGCCATACATCATCACCCTTCTCATGCCAGCTGTATACAGTACGTACATCTTTCCTTTCACACAAATGGAAGGTCCTCTGTCATCAATAAAGGTAGCATCTCCCTAAACTTCTTTCAGCCACTTCTGACTCTTGCAACTGAGCTCACTTCAGCCCTACCCCCAGCAATGATCATGTCACCCAGGTAGCACAACTCATCAACATAGTCCAAGGGTATATCTCCATTGTTGGGCCACTTCAGCCTTGTTCAGGCCACATGATTTCTGTGTATACAAGGCAATTAAAATCAACATCATCCTGCAGTTTGCCATTTACACCACTACATCTTTTATTACCCACTTTCCACATTCACTACACCATTATTGGGTTACTGCCAACACCTTTCTTACAGACAGTACATGGCCATTTTCCACTTTCCACCACGGGTCCCTCACCCACGCCACAAATCAATATGCTTGTTTTTGCCACATTTACTCTCACGACCTTTGACTTTATTCCATCCTTCCATTTCATAAGTTTCTTTACTGCTTCTACAATACTATCTATTATCAGCACAGGAGGTGCAGTGGTGTAAATGGTAAGAGTGTAGGATGTTGCTGACTTTAAGTGTGCTGTATGTGCAGGTAGTCACGCGATCTTAGCAAGGTAGGAGAAACTCAACATTGGGGATATATCCCTGGACTGTGTCGACATGATCAATGCTGGGTGTGGTGCTGCAGCTAGATAAATTGCAAGATTCAGAGTGGCTGGTAGAAGTTTAAGGAACTGTTGCCTTTACTGATTGCAGGAGGATCTTCTCTTTGCTTGAAAGGAAAGGGTACAAGCAATGTGAAAAGTGTGATGAACAGCAGTAAAAATATGAGCAGTTAAAGAGGATGACATACTCAGGCTTAAGTGAGTTGAAATGACAATGGTGAGATGGATGTGTAAAGTGACATTGAGATTAGCAAACCCTGTCCAGATAAGAAGGCAGCTGCGTATTAGGATCATTGAAGTTTTGCACAGAGGTAGGCTGAGATGATTTTTCCTTGTGAAGAGAATGAAGGAGACTAATTGGGTTAAGATATGTAGGAGCTTGAAGGTGAAGGGGAGGAGAGTTAAGGATAGGCTAAGAATGACATGGGGAGAAGTTGTAAGAAATGACTAAGATATATAAGAAAATGACAAGAGGTAATCAAAGTTAACCCATACAAGCGTGGAAAATGGCCATAGAATGGCGGTGATGATGTTTTCAATAAAGTAACCGCCATATAAAATGAGGGTTTACCATACATTTTTACAATGCAAGGAGTTCATTTTCAAAAAGTCATACGAACTATTAAACAATTCTGTTATCAACTTACTACCTGTGGCTCATCATAAAGGGAAGGGGGCTAATACTAACAGGTGGTATGAAGTCATTAATCTAAATTTATATTATAATGGCATATATTATACTGTATCACTAAGAAAGAAAAGAATTTTAGAACTGAATACTGTACTATTAGGCAAAAATGGAGTACAGTACAGTATATGGTGTTTTGGAATAAATGAAAATCCTTATACTGTACAGTATATATATACAGTATATATATATATATATATATATATATATATATATATATATATATATATATATATATATATATATATATATATATATATATATATATATATATATATATATATATATATATACACAGGCAATCCCTGACTTACGGCGGGGTTAGGGACCCAAATCCAGGTCGTAAGTTGAAAATGCGAAAATAATATAATACGACATAGAAAATCTAAAATGGGTGTCTTTTTCTTCTCAGCACCACAAAACTCTCACTTTTAAGCATGCCAGCCATTTTAAAGGGAATTACAAACGAAAATTTTGCCAGTACACAGCGCAATCACTAACGTCGGAACTCGAAAATGAGTAATTTGAAAAATTTTTGGTACGACTGGGGCGGTCGTATGTGGATGAAAATGGCTTATTCTGGAAGCGCATACCAGAACGGACATACATTCACAAAGAGGCGAAAACCATGCCGCGATTCAAGGACCGAATCAAACTTCTGTTGGGGGGGAATGTAGCTGGTTTCAAGGTAAAGCTCTTCATGATATATTATTCAGAGAACCTAAGGGCTTTCAAAAATGTCAGCAAGCACACAATGCCAGTGTTTTATCGCAGTAATAAGAAAGCATGGATGACCCTAGCACTGTTTGAGGATTGGTTCCCGAGTTGTTTCATTCCACGAGCCAAGGAGTATTGTCTGCAACAAGGGTTGTGTTCAAGATTTTATTAATTTTAGATAATGCTCCGGGACACCCACCACACCTGCACCCCAATGTTAAGGTAGTCTACCTTCCACCTAACACTACCTCTATCATCCAACCCTTGGATCAAGGTGCTATTGCTGCTTTTAAAGCGTATTATTTACGTACAACCTTCACTCAGGCTATTGCTGCTACTGAAGGTGAGAAAACGCTCAGAGAGTTTTGGAAGGACTACAACATTTTGCAATGTACAAAGAACATAGCTGCAGCATGGGATGAGGTTACAGGTCAGTGCATGAAGGGAATATGGAAGAAAGTCCTGAAAAGATATGTGAACAGTTTCAAAGGATTTAATGAAGATAAAGCAATTTCTGAGATTAGTAACAAGATAGTGGAGATGGGTAAACAGCTGGTGAGTTAGAAATTGATAATGAAGATGTTGAACAGTTGGTGAAAAGTGTAGCACAAGAGCTAAGTAACGAGCACTGTATTGAACTGGATGCACAGAAAATTGCAGAGGAAGAAGAGACAAAATGTAAAAGACGAACCTGCATCCCCCAAAAAGTTTTCAGTGAAACAAATGGCAGAGGCATTTGTTACTATTAATAATGGGATGCTAATGTTTGAAGAAATGAATCAAAATGTTGAGCATTTTGCAAAAGTTGACAGACTGATCCAAGATGCACTTGCTTGCTACAGGGAGATTTACAATGAAAAGAAAAGGCAAACTGTGCAGTCTAAATTGGACATATTTTTTAAGAAGTCCTCCACTGCTGTCTCCTCATGTCCCACCACTGCTGCCTCTTCACTCCCTAAAGATGATCCAAAACCTTCAATAAGCAAGTATGTTAACCTGTCTGAAGAGGGCAAACTTGATGACCCACCCAGCCCTGTCTCCTCCTCTGCTTCATCCAATTAATGTAGTCTCCATGCTTTATTAAAAAAATATTGAGGCCCTGTGTGCATTAAAGGTAAGTGCACAGTAATACTTCATTAATATTTCATTATTGATTACTTTTACTGTCCCGTATTTCATTTTATAATTTCTATGTATAATTTTCGCCTTTTCGACTTACGACCTGGTCATCGGGACGGAACCCCATCGTAAGTTGAGGAGAGACTGTACTGTACTACATAATCAAACATCTTTGGAGCATGAATAAATATAAGCACAAGTACAGTGATATCTCCATTAGCCGGGTAACGAGACGACTCCCTCAAAGCCGAAAAAAATCCCTCATCCCCGGAATTTTCCGGGTATCAAAAAAAAAAAAAATTTTTTTGGCGGGAGGGGGGGGGGAAATTTTTCCAAAAAATGTGCCCCTTGGAAAATCGTTCCCAAAGCCGGAATTTTCCGGAAAATTCCGGCTTTGGGAAAAATTTTCCGGGAAAATTTCAATTCCGACTATCAGAGAGTTCTGGGTTTGAGAGATTCAGGCTAACAGAGATACAGTACAGTATTACTGTATACAAGTATATAGATTTACAATAAAATATTTTCTTACATTAACTTTTAGCATGAGTGTAAGGTAAAAATATGTAGTACAGGAGTAGTGATGATTAATAAAGGTGATGGAAGATGAGAAGACTGAGGTGGTGCAAAGAGTGATGGTGTTGTTGAAGCACGAGTAATAATGATAAGTCCCTAATGGAAAAAAAAAATAAATGTTAATACATTATTTATGGCCTAGTAGTGGAACTGCTTAAACAGATAGAATGTAAGTTACTGTTAGTATCGATGACTAGTATAGTGAGAAGGAATGGAAGGAGTCATTATTTACTCTATGGAAAGTTCAAACTATTTTATATTACTGGAGAGAATTCTGGTACTGTACTGTATACATAATTGTCAGAATAAGTACAACGGTCTACATTTTTTAGAGGTGATTTACGTATTATTAACATTGATAAGGTGAACATCATTAGACACATATTTAGTGCAACAGAAAAGTACCATGCATTGGTGTGTGTCTCCAACATTTCCACATAACAAAAAGCCAAAAAGTCTGAGTGTAATATATCCTGTCATTCCTTCTTACCACCAATTATCTCTCCTTAACTTATTGAAAAAAACTAGTAATAACAGCACTATACTTTCAAGACTTATAACTAATATTATTATTATTTTTTCATTCAGCTACACTCATCTCTGAAGTCATCATGCATCACACATAATTGACAGATATAAGTACTTCACAGCCCTTGTCATCTTTACATGTAGTGGTCAAGTTAAGAATTAGATCAGTTGTTTATGGGGATGTTTTAGGAAAATATAGACATAAATGAAATCGCAAATAAATGTTTCATCTTGCAACATAGGCAATTAGGATTATTTTAATCGTGTTTATTAATATTACCAAAATATTAAACATAAAATAATGATGCAAACCATACAACAGAAATATGCAAACAACAACAACAACATGGATGTCAACCAACCATATGTGGCAAGACAGACCCTTGCCGCCAACATAATCTTATTTTCACAGCCTTTCTAACATTACAAGTTCTTAATTTCACAGTGTTGTGCAATTACTGGACTGTACTATAGGAGTGAGAAACTTGGAATAATTTATATAATAATTGTTTGGTACGTGAAACATACTGCTCTTCGCCTCAAATTCATAATACAAATGCCTTTAGTTGCCACAAAATTACCAAGACATCAAGGAATTGTTGATAAAACAGACAAGGGCCAGTTTTAAGGTTGACTTCTCTCATGGAAACGTTTTTTTCTGGCGTCTTCACTCTAACTTTCGATAAAATCTTTTCTTCCAAGTACAGAGTGCAACACTTAAGCTTCCAGTTCAGTCTTTCTGTAGTATGCTTTATCTATACTGTATTCCTTATGATAAACTTATTAAACTTTATTTGTCTGTCTTGTATAATTACTGTAGTAAAGTATGATGAAAACTGCAAAGTATTCTTTACAATACAGTATTAAAACATGGAAGCAATGAAATATTTGCAAAATGACACTAAAGCAAATAATAATTTTCTAAATGATCATATGAATCATCAAAATTTTTTAAAATTCTGCAAAACAATTATTATGGACGTTCCATTTTACAGAGCATTTGCTTAGAGAGTCTTTGGTCCAAAAATATTCATCTACTGTACTTTGATGTTGGGGTGATTAAAACTGTTACTGACAACATCACCAATTTCAAATAAAACAAAATGAAGACAACATTTGACATTTCATGTCACTCTTAAAAGTATCATGTTACTGTCTCTACAAACAGTCTTGGATGGAGAATACAATCTCATAAGTAATACATGTACATTAAGACTTAATGAAAAGTTGGTGAATGATTTAAACCAGATGAGGCTGTGATGGCAGTACTGTACAGTAGTTCTGATTTACAACAAACCAAGTTTCATATGATGGGAAAGCAAATATAAAAAAAAAATAATGGCTAAAGTTCTCCATAGTTACAACAGGGGTACGACAGGGTTACAAGCATAATACTTGGGGCGTGGTTAGTTACATCTGTCCATTAGTGGAAGAATAGAGAGGGTCTGGCGAGGCGTCTACATACTGGACATAGGCACCATGAACGCCAACACCGCCGCTTGAATCCAGGGACCCATCGCCTTCAGAAACTGCAAAGATAAAATGTTTGCCATCAACCTTCCAATATTATCACATGCTGAGCAACAGTCAAATTACTACAGATTAAAACAGTTACATAACAAAATAAAACATCAAAAGCACATATCAGATCTAAACAAAGCACATATTAATATTAATATATTTCTGGAGACCTATGTTGCTCAGAGCATCAGCAGGAGCAACAGCAGCTTCAATAAGAGCTAGTACAGGTACAGGTCTTTCTGTACTCAGCCAAAAGCAGTCATGATATCATTAAAAACAGAGCAAGGCCTAAATAAAAAAAATTGCAGTGTGAAGATGAGCAGTTGAATCAGCCCAACAGACCAATTTCCAACTGTTCTCTGCCTAACATATGGAACATGATACTGGTATCCTCAGATGTGTTACAGTGTAAATGCCACATTACAAACTGGTCTCTTTTTCTTTTTACAATTTTGGCATATGACAATGTGTATAAAGTGGTAACCATAAAATGAGTCCTATTAAATCAAGTTTATATTTCAAATAAAAGCTGTAGTGAAGCAAAACAACCCAAATACCTAAGGCAACAATTTACTTCTTGTTCACATGTCTTCAGACAGGTACTATTTTAGTTCATACTCACAGCTGCTGTAAAACTGTTGAATACATAACCCTTTATAGTCGAAGAGAATTGATCTTGTCCATGGTCGAGACAATGGGTGTTCCAGGTAAATGATACAGTATTTCCAATGGATGATTATCACCTAGGCTGTGTTATGAAGCAGAAGTCGTCCCCCCCCCACCCCTAAGTAATGTTTCATGTACAGTTGCAGACTCTTCCACTTTGAACATCCAGCCAGGCGACCAGAGATGTAGAATCAGTTGACGATCTGGTAACAGTTTGTTTGTGCGGGGGTGGCAGGGGGAGGGGAAAAGATGGGGGAGTACTTGAGTTCTGGGTTGCATAATATAATCACATGTTGTTTCGCACACAAAAGATTGATGGAAGTGGAAGAGGTAATTATGGTGCAGGAATACATATTTACAAATGCATTATGTTGTTTGATTTATTAGGGTGTAATTGGTTATCTCTAATCTAAGGATCTAAAGCCAGAGAAACACGTAACCTTTACCTCCCCGCACTACTGCTACTCTTCCTCGGGTAAGGACAGTATGGGAAAACAGGTGCCAGTCAATGATTGATGTCGACCAATTTTCAAAATCCGATATATAACCTTAACCCTTTCACCGTATGGCTCGACTTTATTCACATTTTAATTTTTGTCCTTCACTGCTTAAATCGACTTTAGTCCACATTCATAAAAATACTTTCTGTTAACGCGTAACTCGACTACAGTCCTTCAGGGTTTGAATTATGCGCCGGCCCAGTAGATGCTACCACCTAGCGGCGACTGGGGCAAGCTGAAGCCAGCCATCAAAACACTAGGAGTCAACATTATTGCTCTGTGTTTTGCCCAGTTTCCCCATTTTTATGACTAATAACTGTTCATATATATATATATATATATATATATATATATATATATATATATATATATATATATATATATATATATATATATATATATATATATATATATATATATATATATATATATATATATATATAGATTCAATACTAGCACTTGCAGTGTGATAATCATTAAATTAGAAGGGAAATGAATAAGGTAAGTTGGGAAGTGAAATTATTTCTTGCATATGCCATGATGGAAAATTATGTGACATTGTTTATTCATGTTTTCTTTTTAGAGAATAATGGTATATATAGTGATATGTTAAAAGTTTAAGAGTGTGCTAAATGAAATGTGTATTAGAAAGTGGTACAGGTAGTGCATAATGAATAGAGGAGAGAGGAAACATAATAAAAGAGGAAATAGAGCAACACAGATAACCAGGGAGCCAAACGTGGCATATTGAGACGGGTTTTCTGATACTTCATTTTTTCTTTGCCTTTCAGAAATGTCTGGAATACAAGAGTGAGTAAGGCGTGTAAAATGTGAAAGGAAAATAATTTTTTTATGGATATACTGTATATGAATTTATTCTTTACCTACATATATTCCCAAAGGTGGTTTACTTCAATGGAAGATAAACTATTTATCGTTGCAGTTTACACTATCTGACTACTTATGATATTGCCAATTATTATGAAAACAGAAAAAATTTAAAAATAAGTGTTTTCCCCACAAAATCGTAAATTTACCCTAGATATTATTACTTTATAACTTTTTAATTGTTATACTATATGGATTCCTCACGCTTTCTTCATTAAAAAAAAGTAGTTAAAACGTTACTGTAAACATTTTCATTTTTAGTAACTTTTGGCACTTATTGGGGAATACCATCAAAATTGGCCGATGTGGTGAAAGGGTTAAGCTGATACACATTTTTAGGTGATTCGACTGCTCTTATATACACATTATATTTCATGAAAGCATTAATAGCGTATAATGAAACCATATGCTGTCGTAAGTCACGTTTCGACCTAGCCTCGCACCGGGTAAACCAAATGACCTCTTTACACTTATCGTTTTAATATGGTGATTCAAGTGGTATGGTGCTACGAAAGATACTGACATGTAGTTGTCAATGATGTGTAGGTGCGTAATGCTATCCTTTATAATGTTAGGAAGTTACCTTGTGGTGCTAGGCCATCTGTAACACACACACACACACACACCTCTTATCCTTTATTTTCACAAGTAATGAAATTAATAATGACATGACGTAAAAAAACAAGTGTTTAAAGATATAAATGCTTCCGACCCTAAATGGAATGCAAAACAAAACAGTGAAAATAATGATAATTTGCTTGTTGATCACGTAACAAGTGTCGACAGCAAATTCAAACTCATCCGAGGTATTATCGTGACCCTAGAAATCATAGAATTCAACAGAAAGCTCTTAGACTTCAAGATGAACCGTCGTGACACCCAGTTAGCTTTGAGATGTCGCATTGTGAGCCTACGAGAAGCTGTACTCTATCTGAGCCGTATGCCGTGGATTAGAAGATGGGAGGAGAGTGGCAACCTGAATGACCTTGGTAAGTACTAATCAGACTGACATGTTATTGGTGATTACACAGACAATCAAATATATTTACTTAGCATAAAAAAAAATTGCATTTTAATCAGCATTTTCTTTTTGATTGAGAGAAACATCCCCGGCCACGAGTGACTACTCCTGAAGATGATACAAGGATCTTGAGAACAGCTGAGGACAACCCTTTCAATAATGCTGTTGCAATTCACGAAGATCTGCGACTGGATGTGAGCGCCAAAACTGTCCGGAGGTGGGTTCATGAGGCGGGTATCCACCACAGGATTCCCGCCAAGAAAGAACGACTGACAGAGGAACACCGTGCTGCCAGAGTTGCCTTCACTCGTCGACATGCTGACCAGTCGCTGGAATTCTGGGACAGAGTTGTCTTCACAGACAAAAAGACCTTTCCATCGACCAATCACGGCAGAATACACATGTGAAGGTGCAACAACACTAGGTAACAATAATACAACATTTTGTCCAGAGCACCAATTAACAAATGCAATGAAACACACGAATACAAAGTTCGACCTTTTATGAATTCTTACTTTTATGGTAAAATTTCAGGAACTGCTGAATGTAAATTACATGCAAAGGTTATAAGTCAAGTAAACCTGCTTTTTAGACCTGCTAAAACTACTACTCCAAACCTATGATATAAATAAATACTACAGTGCTACCTCTACTCTCTCGGCAAGGCACACATCGATAATGACTATGTGTATTTTATTTGTCCAGCTTTACAGTGGTCCCTCGGTTAACGAGCGCCTCGGCTAACGAGATTTCGGTTAATGAGTTACCTTCCATAAGATTCTTAACTTCTGTTAACGAGCAATCCCTCGATTAACGAGTTTTGTATGAGCTGACCTGAACATGTTTTCGCTTGCATTTGGCGGTCCACCAGCTGTAGTATTAGTCCGCCAGTACAGTAATCGGTTCTAGGACTTAAATTCCTTACCATTTTAGTAAATATCAAGAAGTTTATACTACTCAATAATTTTAAAAGTTTAATATTACATTTTTTAGTAATTTTAACAATTATTGAACATGCCATCCAGCCTGCTAACACACCATACAGGCGTCAGTCTTTGTGTCTTTTCAGTGGAGGTAACATCTTGCTTGAGACTCTCTTCAACTAAATGCTTTTTTCTGTGTTTGCAAGCAAATTAATGGTCATTTTGAAATTTATTTTACATATTGACAATATATAATGCAGTGCAGTGTTGATTTAAAGAACATAATCTTGAATTACACCAAGAGAACTAAAATTTTATGGGTGAAATGGTGCCATGGGGTGACTTCTCTTCCACCCCAATGCCTTCTCCAGGAGCCTTCTACATACACACCTCAAAGTAAGTGTACTTTTCTACCTTTTTTGTTGAATTTAGGCAATTTTCGGTGAGCTGGAACCAATTACCCCAAAACCCATTGAAACAATGGTTTCGGTTAACGAGTTTTTCGGTTAACGAGCAACCTTCTAGAATGGATTGTGCTCGTTAACTGAGGGACCACTGTATTCTAAATAAAATGCCAAATTGGAACCCATGAAGTTGCTAGATATATATTAAGCAAAAGTAATTTTAAGATAATTAACGTAAAGGTTTCCAGCAATATTGATAAGTTAGACAAATTATAATGCATCATGACATTAACAGCTGAAATTTTCTAACAACAGGCATGATCGTGAGCATATTTACGAGGAGGCTCATAGTGAACGCAGCATCTGTATGTCTGTCCATGGTGTGGGGGACTTGGTTCAAATTGACGGGAGATTTACAGTACAGAAGTATCAGGACATTTTGGAGAATTTTTTCTTGCTCTCTCTGCAGGGAAGAAATCCCCCCCCCCCACACCTATTGTTTTCATTTATGACCGGTGCCCCATACACACAGCTAGAGTTGTCCAGCAGTGGTTTGCTGACCATGAGAATTTACAGCTGCTGGATTGGCCTAGTCGGGGGGCTGAC